CTAGGAAACCCTAGTCTGACTGCTTAGTCCCTAAGCAGCCCATGGACTCCCTCCTTAGAGGCCTTGGACGAATTCTAATGGGTTTCCCCATGGATTTCGTCCACTCCAACTTCTATAGAGTCCATTAGCCTAATATTTAACTGTCACACAATTGACAGTTCCAATCCCCTTTATTTAATTAATGTCTTTTATCAATGGAATTAATTCTTAATTAATTCCTGTCTAATATTAGTTAAAAATATTATTTCTCCTTTAATATATTATTCATATAATCTATTAGTAAACCATAATAACCTCTCTCTCTCTCTCTCTCTCTCTCTCTCTCTCCATAAATCATCTTATCTAGTTGCTTTGATGAAGGCAACCCAATAGGACCATGCATAACCGGGTCAAATACTTACCAATTATAGTTACAGACTTAGAAACTAATCCAACAGTCTCCCACTTGGATAAGTCTAGTAAGTATAAATGTAATTTTCAACCGATTAGCAATCATAGCTCTCAAAGATGTTGTCAAACTCTAATCTTATCAGCAATCTGTCCTTTAGATAAGGGATCATATATTCCTCCATTCTAGATATCGTATAGACATGAGACATGGATTATAATCATTCTCTCAGTCTATGTGTTGTTTCCCGATTTCTGACGGCTGAAAACAAACTACAATTGAACACATCAACTTAGTCTTGGCTTGGCCAAGCGCTTAGGGTGTCATCACTAAATCATCGAGGGGACCACAGATATCGCTTTTATCCCACTTTGGATAAAAGGAACGCATAAACTTTGACTCAATGTTCGCTTGTACCCACTCATCAAATCACACACAATAATATGTTTTATAACACCAGGTTACTGGTGTGTTTGCATATTATCAATGTGGAACCGACTTGTAGAATACAACTCACACATCTCGGTTTCAAGAATATAAGATATTATCGTCTCACCAATCACTCGAGATAAAACCATGAAGTGACCTAAGTGAGTGTTGGTTTAATCCAATACTCTAATCTCATAGCAAAACTCATGAACTCTGTAGCAAATTTGTGCTATGTCCAAACACTTTAGACAATCTATAGACGGATTCATGACAGTGTTCTTTCATACCTACTTCCAAAGTATGAGTGACTGTGGAGGGTTTGAATAATCTTATAATTTGAGAAGTCAAAACATGCAAAGTGAAACACAAGAATAATACTAATACTATATAGCCTCAAACCTTTGAGTATAAATAATACACTTTTATTTAATCACCGTATTGATTACTCATTATTTGTTGTTTCGGGTAATCAACTTCGTACTTAAATTATAACAACAGTTGCCCATGCTCCAAGCATGCACACTATGTTTACCTATGATCCTTACTATGTGAAATAGATCAATTGAACACATTTCCAATCATGCTCATATCACAATTCCTAATCATTATTGTAAGAATACAAATTTCTCGCCACTACTAGAATATGTTAGATTCTAACATTTTATGCAACGGTCCTTTCGTAATGTCACGGCACAAAAGTAACCAAGACTCGGCCAATGAAATTACAAAATGCTCTATTGGAGATTGTTACAAGACAATTCCAAAGATGTGAAGTCTCACATTCAAAGTACATTCCTTTGAAAATCTTTGTTGCATAAAAGTTTCTAATCACAGATTCTCAATATCCAACTTCCAATATGGAAACATTTCCATATTTTTCATATGACAACTCATTCTAAATAGAGTCATATCTATTCATAATAAAGTCAACATGATCCATCCATTAGTATACTTCCAACTGTCCACAAGCGACCTATCTTTGGTGAACCTTAGATTGTCCTTGATAGTTGTTTAATTATTTTAGTCAAATCCGGTTCTAGTCCATTTTTCCCTCTTAATGCCCTAGGCATTTGGAAAATTTTAGAACGGTCAAATATTACAACATATGTAATCGATCCTATACTAGAAGCGTATGGGACACTAATGTCTTAAATAATAGCATGATACATTATCAGCCATTTGCCATAATATTTCTATTTGCCACATTCTCAAAATTCGAACTATGAAGAGGGATACCATAATCATAATCGAAATTTGAGGACACAATTAATATATCCTTGACTAAATTTGATTAAAATTTCTCGATCTAAGCTTTTATATTTCAAAACAAAGTATACGTTCTCTCCCTTAATTATAGCAAAACAACTTTTCAACCCCTGTAACTTTGCAAACTAAAACCTTTTGTTTTCTATAATTAATATTGCTAACTTGCAACACTTCAAATAATAATCATGCTCCCACTAACAGGATGATTATATCCATTCCAGCATAACATTTATGCTCCCACTAGCTATGACACGTATTTAGAAATCAGCTAAACTTCTTAGAAACCAATACTTATTGACTTCCAAAGTTCATTTTCCTAATATGATATGCTTTGATAATCCTTTATCTGAGCATCTCAAATTCATACACCTTTCCTTAGATAACTCACATGTGTGTCTAAACTAATTCAGAACTTATATTACTCAGTCCAAAAATGTTCATACTAATTGCCAAATCTCACAATTTTAACTACGAAGAAGGATGTCGTAATCATAATCGAATTTGAGAATGCAATCTACACAATTTCTATCTTCTTAAAAACTCTCTTAGTGAAAGCATTTCCTCACAATCATTTTCATGATGGAGAGAAACCTTATGACACTTAGATTTTATAGTGTATGTGTTCCTATCCATGTGAATTTTCCATAACCATAATCATAAGATATGTTTGTGACAAATCCAAACTCTTATGGACAGAACTTGTTCATTCTTGATTTCTTGCCATCAAGGGTCCCACCATTGCTTCCAAGTTATTTAGCAGCTCACCTATACGAGTCAATTTACTTTCATTGAACAAGGTGCTTTCCTTATGCAGTCTATTGAGAACTCGTAGAACTCATATGCATATTCAACTCAACTAGATTAGCACAGAAACAAGAATACATCAACACGATATGTTATAAACCTCATGTCGTGTGCTAGTGTTTAATAATAGGTTTACTCTTAATGAGTTCTTGAAACTTTTCAAGATCATTTAGACTCCGACTGACCTCTTAACATATAAGATTCTCTTTTCAAGAAAACATTTCTTGACAAACGAATATTCAAGAGTTAGTGCAGATTCTTATCAAGACAAACACTACACACAATTGGTAGTAGTTGGTCTTTGTCTTATCCAAGACATCACAATTTACCAATTTCAAACGTGAAAAAGTAAGAAAAACAATTTTATACTTCACATTTGATGAGTGTGTGAGAACTTCTTAAGATGTGTCACTCAATTCACGATCTTGGAGTACAACTCTGAGACTTGATTTTTGGAACGAAGTATGACTTATCCTTTTAACCATTTCAACAATTTCCGATTCCTCTTCTTAGCCATACTAGTGCACTAATATTTCCTTAGAGGATTAATTGTGATATGGTTTCATAATCAACAAGACAATCATAAAACACAATACAAATGTACTCTCCCTTCTTCATAGATTGGATAAACTTTTATCTTTCTGCCTAATTGATTCTTCTTATTCGTTCTGACATACATTGAAAATTTTCATTGATTCAGAATCACACTTAATCTTGTAAGCATAACGACATTTACTAGACTTTTAGTAAATCATGACGAATAATTCTATCGTTCTTTGTGGTGGACTTGACTAGTGCACAACATTGTGTACCAATTCTCCGAGTCCTTCACTTGACTCTTTATCAAGGAATTAGTCTTAATTTTCCACCACTACAAGAAAATAGCCCTTTAATGATGCACAAACAATGACACTAGCTGATAGACGACGCGCATTTGTAAGTGCCCTAAAATATAATGTCAGTTTTGCAAAATATGAAGGATAGAGGGCACGCATTTGTGCGCGCCCTAAAATTAGTGTCAGAAAAGAAAAAAAAATGAAATGTGGAGGGCGCCTTTCATAAAATGTGTGTCATGTAAAGGTGTCACTTTATAATTTTTAACTGAAATACACGCATTTTAGGCGGGAAATGAAATCAACGAAAATTACCCCCGCCTATTGAACCCTAAAAATTAATCCCCCCCACCTCTTCTACTTAGCAAGAAAAAGCCCTAGGTCCCTGATCTTCATCTTCAGTATCATCAAACATCTCGTTCATCCTTTGCATTATTTCCATCGTTCTTCCCTCTCCTCACTGATCAATACCCAAAAAACCATAATATCATAACCACTCCTCTTTTCTTGCACAACAAAATCCTAAAACATCACCAAATACTAAATTCCACAAAATCGTTGTGACCATTTTAGCTAGGGATTTTTTCAAGAACGAAAACAATCTCGCATCTCTCTTAGCTCTGAAACAATGGACGATTCACCTTGCTTCGCCTTTGGTCACTTTTCCTCCAGCAACGTTAGGCCTTCCTCATTACAAATCGACCAACGATAAGCTAATACTTATAACTGAATCGTTTCACTCTCAATTGGGTGTGCGACTCCTCCATCGCACTAATGACTACGAATGTGACTCTTCTACCAGACCTGTGATTGCGTCCCGTCTCACCTCCCAGACTGCTACCTTAATAAGTTTAACTATTCAATTAGATTTTTATTTTCAGTTAGAAATCGATTTCATCCCCTCCCCAGCTCTTCATCTCTTCACTAAAATCGCTCTTCATCTATCCACTAAAATATTCACGGTTTCTTTAATTTCACTCCAAGGGTTATTTGATAGCTTTTGTATGGTTTATTCCCTATACTGAATCGCTAGTCAAAACCATTGTGGTGGTTGTGGCGAAATCAAAATGCGGGATTGAACCATTGTAGCAGAGAGATCTTGAAACTTTTGATTAATACTTCTGAAGTTGTCTCGAAGGTAATGTGAACCTCTTGATACTTCTCATGTTGACTCTCTTTTGTTAGTATAGTTATCGTCTTTTTAAAATTAGGTATTTTGTTTGAATCATTTCATTGAACGACAGGTGATTCATACCATCTTCTCAATTTATTTGACATTGATGAACAGTGCGTTGAATTTCTTTGTCATGTCCAATTTATCTCGACCAGATCTCAAGCAGGTTTCGATCTTCATCTCTATTGATGCTCTAACTTTTTTCCTTCAATGGAACTGTGGATTTTTATAAACCCTAGCTTCTACATAAACCCCTCTTTTAACCGAGCTTGGAAAGACCACATGGCTTTCCGTATTTAAGAGTTCTTCCTGAAGATGTATTATTATTATTATTAAATATTACTCTCTTCATAATCAAATCATGCAAGAAAATGAAATTCCTTTTATTAATTTATTTGTTTCTAATAACAGGGTGTTGCAATGCTTGATATTTCTAATTATGGACGAAGAGTTGATCATCATAGAGATATGCGTATGGATATCGATCATATGTCTTATGAGGTATACAAAGATTGGCTTCTTTTTTAGTCAAATTACGAAAATGACCTTTTTGTATATGCAGGAGCTTCTTGCATTAGGTGAGCAGATTGGGAATGCTGGATCGGGGTTATCAGAGGATTTTATTTCAGGTTATTTGAAAACAAGGGTATTTATGTCTTCTAAGTTGGAAGTTGTTTCATCTGCTGATCAAGAACTTAGTTTCTGCACAATTTGTTAGGTAAGGGAAAATTTGTAAAAAGTTAGTGAAATAAAGTCTCATTTCTTGATTTTCATGCAGGTGGTTTGCTTTTCAACAATGGGACGCCTGAAAGAGAGTCAAGTGTAATTTCCTAGGTCTCCTAATAGGAGGATGCAGAGTTCAAGCAAAACACAAGAGCTAGTACCATTCTTTTCTGAGACTCAGGAGGTAGTCTATACAAATTCCAACAGAAAAGTACCTGAAACTGAAGGTGGCAAAAATAACATGATGATACGTGTAGCCGCAGAAAATCAACAAGGTGGTGTTACTGCTATAGACCATGGGGAAATGCCAAATAATTTTGGTAAATTTATATCCTGTTTATGATGGTATTTATTTTTTATGCGTAGCGTAGTAAATAAATATATTTGTGTTGTGATATGATATTAGCACGTGGGAATAAAAGCTTGTATAATGAAAGGGTTGAGTCTTTTGCAGCAGCAGCAAGAGAGGGCCAAGATAGGTAATTTCATTCATTAATCCTGAAACAGATAATTGATATGTTTTGGTTTCTTATGTTGAGGGTTTGTTGCATCCAGGGGTTGAAAAGGTGTAGTAGTAGTAGTAGTAGTAGTGATAATATAAATATATTGGTGAGACGTCCTTCATCATCATCATCATCTCATGAAGGGGGGTTATGTGAGGTGGATTCAACTTTCAGAGAAAGAGAAACTAGGGAGAACATGATGATGATGGTAGGTGGTGGTGGTGGTGGGTTTAAGAGGGCGTCATCATTGAGTGATGCATCCGTGGCAGTAATAATAATCATCTTATTAGGAAGCCACCCTCACCAAATCCAAAGGGTGCAGCAGAGGGACACAATAGCAAACCTGGTGGTGGGAAAAAGAAAGGCAAAAAGGGGAGGCAGATCGACCCGGCTCTGCTTGGGTTTAAGGTTACCAGCAACCGTATTATGATGGGAAAGATCCAACGAATTCAAGATTGAACCCCTCCTTTCCCCAAGTTTTGTTTTTTATTTTATTTTATTATTATTCTTTCTTGTGGTATTTATATCTATCTATATGTATCTGTATATTATTGTATGTATGTATGTAGAGAGTATTGGTTGGTTTGGTTGCATAGAGTAACTGCATCTGTATGTACCATAGGGTTTTTTTCCAGTTCTACTCTTTTTACAGGTGTTAAAAGGTAAGAATAGCGGATAAAACTAGAAGCCTAAATGAAAATCAAATCTGAACCAGTTTTCTTGACAATATCCCATAAAGTAATGTAATCATATACAAATACCAAGACTATTATATTTGTTTACTCATATCCTATGTTATCTATGGTCAGGGGTGGCAAACTAAAAGATGTTGCAGTTGATGCTCATATACTTTCCTACTGTTGGTCTAGTGATCTCATTAGATCTGCCTTTTCCTCTGGTGATTCAAGATTTCCTTGGGTTCTCCTTTGTAAACTATTTTGATTTGCAGGCCTTGTGTGTAGCTGTGTTTGCTGATGGAGAAGTTGCAGAAGGCTAGAGCCGCAGAATCTGATTTGGTGGGTGGTGAGGATCTTATTGAAGGAATAAAAAAATTGTAACTTGCACTCTCATTAACTTATATCATAATATTCTACTCTCACTATCTTTGAATTCATTAGTTATGATTCTACTGCTCTCATCGGGTAGCATTAACATAAAAGAAACTGACAAGTGCATTGAATTTAATGATTTCTTTTTTTGGAAAACCTATTTGAAGAGTACAAAGCAAATTTAGAACACTTGACCTTTGATAGCATATCGGGTAAATCTATTTTATCCTTAAATTAAGTTTTATCAATTGAAATTAATGATTTTTTGTTTCGATTGTTATTTTAATGAAATCGGTTTTATTAAAATGAGTTTTGTTTATGTCATGGTCATGATAGATTCGTACACTGAGATGTTGGCCTGGTGGCTTTTGTCTTTCACTGTAAGTGGCTATGTAGTCTTTAAATTTTACCCTTTGAAGTCCTTTACATGTATAAGGGTTGTTGGAGCTGGTAGACAAAGGCGTAGATACAAGAAACTAATCAATAACAGGTAAATTGTAACTAACTCCAAGTAAACTAATCATCTTAAACTTCAACTCCAGATATGCTAGGTAACTTGGTTGTTTCCGCTGATGAAACAGGTCAAGTTGGTCCTTGTGTTGCTTGTCCTTGTCAGGTATTTTTATTTATGATTAAATATATTATTAGATTAGATTTTTTTGGATTTTACATTTCTCAATTGTAGGTTTTAAGGAGTGTGAGTCAATGGTCAGCTGGGGCAAGTCAAGTTGAAGACAATATTCACAAAGCTTACATTTCTCTTATTGAAAAAGTTGAACACTTCATCTACATCGAGGTACATCATAACTTAACAAAATATTTTGGTTTTTCGTAATTTTGGGTAATTTTATAAAATACAACTTTTGTTTCCATATTGATTCGGGTAAAAGAAAACCCGTTAGATACGGGGAACCCGATGGATATCCGTTTGGTAAAAAATCCATATTTTTTATAAATCTGAGATATATAAAAAGATATAATAATAATAATCATGATAACTAAAACATTCAACCTTGAGTGTCACTGAAAAAAATCATATTACATGGATCAAAATTAAAATTACAACAAAAAATGATTACATATATACATTTAAATTACAGCCAAAAAGATTCAACGGATGCAATAAAAATTACAAATAAAAAGATTATTATGTAAGTTGAAAATGTCTCCTAATTCCTGAACATATATAATCATAACCGATAAAAAAATTGAAAATAGATACAATCATTTAATAAGTTACAAATCCAAAATCACTGAAAATAGATACAATCATAACCGATAAAAAACTGATTTAGTTAGTTTCTACTTTCTAGTAGTGACAACACGTTTCCATGATAGCATGAAAGTGGTATTAAGTATTTGCATTCTTATTATATTATACCCCTCACATTTTCCCAAATTACCCCTTCCTCTACAATGTTTTTTTTTGTTTATGTGTATTTTGTGCATCAGGTAAAGTTGATGGAAGAAAGGAATAAGAAGCCACTTGATTTAAATCTTGCAGCATTATCAACAACATGTAGTAAAGACTTGGAGTTGAATTTGGCTAAGTCATTATTGAGTGAGATAGGCCAATGTACAACTGCTTATCCATATAATCAGCTGTTTGGAGCATTAGTTTCAAAGAATTATGAAAGGCAAGATGCAACTTTACTTAGTTGGAATTTGATGTACATAGTAGATTAGATGCAAATTTATATATTGTAAGAAATATAATTGTATGACATTAAATTTATGCAATGGATTCTATTTTTTGTATATAATATTTTATTTTCTATTATCAAACATTAAATACAAATTTAATTTGAAAAAAAGTAAATCTATAAATAATATTTTTTTAAACATTTAAAATCATGATACGCAAAAATGTGTGTCATCTTCATTTATGACATGGCCTTTCTTGATACGCATTGCGTGTCATTAACATGCGCGTCGTAAGGTTACGACACGCGAATGCGTGTCATCTTCCTTTATGACAGGGCCTTCCTTGATACGCATTGCGTGTTGTAAACGCACGTCGTAATTGTGTGTCGTAAATGAGCGTCGTAAATGCGCGTCGTCTCTCTTTATGACAGGGCCTTCCTTGACGCGCATTTGCGCGTCGTCTGAGCCTTTTACGACGCCCAATGAGCGTCGTAAAAGGCTGTTTTTCTAGTAGTGCATATATGAAGGTTCTCATTCATCATACAATACAAGTTGTAGGATTCCAAGTTTCTATCCAATTGAAACTCGGGCGACAAGAATCTTTCCCTATTTGGCAAATTCTCGACATTACCATTAATAACATAACTAAGAATCACATCCATTTCAACATTTCTAAAACTAGAAATACACAAATGTCAATTTTTCATTCACGCCATTGCAAGGAAATACATAAATAAGACAAAACCAAAATTTATTTGATTTATAAAAGGTGAGGAAAAACTTGACCTTACAATGTAAATCAAATGAAAACTACGCTATTACATATTCCTAAGCAATTTATCATAAATCTAAAAGTAGCAGCTCCAAAAATCCAATCATCGAATCATGCGATGTAAATCCATTTCTTCGAGATCAGAGTCAGCTCACTTCTTCCTTTAAGCTTCTTCTCTTTTCTTCGATCCTACAAAACACCAAATGTAATCTTATCACATCATGTATTTAGAATCTCCAAATCGGAACTTAATAGAGTTAGATAATGGATTTTACCTGAAGAAGAGTCATACATCTTGACTCCGCCATATCTTAGATCTCTCAGGTAGTCTTGGAAGCTTCATAACCAATGCCCTCTCTTTTGGCAGTAGAAACATACAGTTTCTTCTGGAATGGTACACGGGACTATCTCAAACTTATCCTTTCTCTTGCGTGGAGAAAACATTTCTAGACTTCCAATGTTTCCATCTCCCATAGAAGGATGTGATATTGATTTACCAAACAAATTTTCTCGACCAGTGCGCCAAGTCATTTCTGATTTAACAACAATAAGCAAATAAATCAAATCAATGAGGGTCACATTGTGTTCCATCATATAGTACTCTCTAACAAACTTACCATATGAGTCGGGAAGTGAATGAAGAACTAAGTCAATACCCAACTTCTCCGAGACATTGATGCCCAACATTTCCAATCTATCAATATGCACCTTCATATCCAAGACATGAGCGCATACTGACTTTCCATCTTCGTGTCTTTTAGCCAATAGGGCTTGGGTGACCTTGAACTTTTCAATTCTTCGAACACGTGGGTTGGGGAGAATTATTGGAGGAGGTGGAGGAAGTGAAGCATGATTTCCATTTCCACAATCCAATCGTGGAACATCATCTTCAAGTGGAAAACTTTTTCCAACGGATTCAGGAAGACAGTAGTTGTCAGACTTTGACATCTACAAAATGGGAGAAATTCACGTTAGTTGATTGGAATCCTTGATATAACACCCAAATGGAATATCAAGGCTAGGACCCAAAACAATATTCTACAATATGGAAGAGGGATGTCGTAATCCAAATTGCAGAATATTTGAAGGTAGGTAAATGACGATTTACTAATTTCCACCATGAAAAACGGAAATTGAAAATTAAGTTTTAAATGAATTGAAACTCCTAGATCTTTTGAGATTCATTGAAATTTTCAATGGCATGTTTAAATCTTGAGTGTGCCCTTTGTTTGTGACTGGGATGCCGAGGATCATAAACAAGTTGTGGATAACCATGCAAATATACATGGTGCCCCCAATGTTACAATCACCTAATCGACATGTCGGTTAACCTCACACGCTCCATCGATATATGACAAACATCGAGCCACCCTTTTCCACCTTTTTTAGAGCCCAATAAGTGTGTCGGTTAACCACACACGCTCCACTAACATCTTAGCAAGGATTCAAAGTGTAATTTCATGGAATAGCACCAACTCCACATTTATCCTAAAGTAACTAAGATTTGGGAATTTATAAAACATTTAGTTACTTCGTATTTCATTATACTTATAATGGAAGGTTGTGTCCTCTTTTGTTCATCAGTCATTTCCTTTAGAATGGAAAAATTGGGAGCTTGAAGTCCAAGAAATTCTTTTGGAGCTTCATCCGGAACATATTCATCTTCATCTTCACTTCCTTCCCCTTCAGTGATCCCTAGAATTACAGAGATGATTTGAATGTCTTCTTGGGAATCTAGATCTTCGTCCTGGAGTGAAAATTCCTAGGTGGGTTTCCATGGTTTGCTGGGCCTTCTCCCCCTCTTGCATCAGTGGACTTCGGAACCGGTGCAAGCTGCAAAGTCTCTTTCAAATCATCATATTTGGAGAAGACTTTCTTAAGGCATGTGGTAAGTTGAAGAGAGAGAATATCGTAGGCTTTGGTAGTGGGGGTTTCATTAGAAAGGAGTTTGAATGTGTTGCTGAGGATAGCAATCATCTCATCAAACTTCTGGTTCTGAACATCAACAATGTTCCAAGTTGAGCGAAGAAGTTTAACGAGGACTTGTTGAATAATCATGTTCATCTCATCCTTCTTCCGGATCTCCTGCTCTAGCTTTTGAATCTGCTTCTCATGACGAACATGCATCTTCTTAATGAGGTCGTTGGTAGCAAACACCAAGGTATCATGAACCATGGGCGAGGAGCTTGTTTGAGGCCATAGACTGCCTTCCGGGGTTTATAGCAGTGATTCGGAAATACAAGATTGATGAATCCGAGAGGATGTTGAAGATATAAATCGGTTTCAATTTCACCATTAGGAAAATCACTTTTAACGTCCATTTGGTAAACTTTGAAGCCTTTGTGAGCAGCATAAGCGAGGAAGATTCTGGTAGCTTCAAGTCGTGCAACAGGAGCAAAGGTCTCGTTGTAGTCGAGCCCTTCAATTTGAGTAAAACCTTTGGCCACTAGTCTTGCCTTATTTCGGATGATAAATCCTGCATCATCTAGCTTGTTGCGAAATATCCATCTCGTACCGATTATGGAATGATTCTGGGGAGGAGGCACGAGAGTCGAAACTTCATTTCGGTCAAATTCATTCAGTTCTTCTTGCATGGCTATAATCCAGTTAGCATGCTCCAATGCTTCCTTGATGGATTTTGGTTCAACCATGGATATGAATGCTGAAAAATGACATTCATTTTGGATGTTTGTAGCAGAGCGAGTCTGTACACCGACATTAGGGTTACCGATTACTTGGTTCGGAGGATGATCCTTCGTCTAAACATGCAATCGTGGGAGTTCTTGTGCAGCCGTCGATCCAATGTCAACATTGGAATTGATTTGCTCCCCCTGAATGGTTTGAATGTTAGGATGATGCTCCCCCCCTCCCCTAAACTTCTGAACCAGAGAGATTGATAACATCATCAAAAGGAAATTCAAAGAAAATTTCATTTTCATCATTGTTGAGAGAATTATAGTCATCAAACTCAGCAGCTGCATCTTGCAAGCCATCCACATTTGATTCAAGAGAGGGATGAGCATTCTCCCCCTCAACCTGAGAAGGTTGAAATGGTTCAGAATCAAATGGAGGGAGTCTTGGGATCGAACCGGAGACATTTTGTGAGACAGGAACTTCCGAAGTAGGGATAGGAATGAGGTTTGGTCTTGATCGAGATTTCGAATCAAGGGTTGTTTCAGAAGGACTAAAAAGTGTTTCAAAATCAACTTCTACGATTGTTTGAGGGTTCGGACATCCTAGCGGAGGAGCATTGGACTCCATAATGTGAGTTGGGCCAGAATTTTGGATGAAGTTGTAATCGAAAGTAACATCAAAGCTTTCTTCCAGAACACGAGTTCTTCGATTAAGAACTCTATAAGCTTTCGATTTTGAGGAGTACCCAAGGAAGATGGCTTCACCAGCTTTAGGTTGAAATTTGGTAAGCTGATCACAATTGTTATTTACGAAGCATCTGCATCCAAAAACATGCAAAAACGAGATTGTTGGCTTCCGACCGTTCATTGCTTCATACGGTGTCATGTTGAGGCGTTCATTGATGATACTCTGATTTTAAGTGAAGCAAGTAGTAGATACTGCTTCAGCCCAAAGGTAGAGTGGTAGGTTTGCGAAGTTCATCATGGATCTAGTTGCTTCAACAAGAGTTCTATTGCATCTTTCGACTACACCGTTTTGTTGTGGGGTATAAGGAGATGAGAAGTTATGGTTAATTCCTTTTTCTGTGACAAACTTTTCAATGGCGGAGTTAGTGAATTCTGAGCCATTGTCACTTCAGATTCTCCTAACTGGGAGTTTGATGAGAATTTTTATTCCCTTGACAAAACTGATGAGCTTTGAGGTTGTTTCGGATTTCAGACGAAGGAAGAAGACCCAAGTGAACCGTGTAAAATCATCAACAATCACAAGAATGTATTTCTTATGATGAAGACTTTCTACAGTGGGTGGTCCACAAAGATCAATATGTAGAAGCTCCAATGGTTCCGAAATGGATATTTCGATGATAAAAAGATGACCCTTCTTTGATTGCTTACCACACTCACAAGCAGCACACAAATGATCATTTTCAAATTTGAGAAGAAGTGATCCTCTCACCATTTCGCCGGATACGAGATCATTCATGTACCGAAAATTTAGATGAGCAAGCCTTTGGTGCCATAACCACCTGACGTCAGGAACAGCTTTGGTGAGAAGGCAAAGTTTCGGTTTTCCAATAATCATATTGATGTCAAGTAGGTACATGTTCTTGTTGCGAAGAGACTTTATTAAACACTCA